CAGAAAAAGAAGACATGGATTGGAGGATGTAACAACATGGTAGAGGCCTACAGAAGTCATGATTCAAAGCAGAATGAGATGGAATTCTAGTTTCCGAAATATCCAAGATGAGCATCCATCTTACATATCCAAAACAGGCAAGGCCCGGCAGCAAGTCACAGCTGCCTCCCACCTCTTCAGTGCCACAAGCTGGCAAGAGGAAAAGAATTGGGCAAAAGAAATATGTCTTATTGAGAGTCCCTTTTTTTTTTTTTTTTTACATAGAGAGAGATTGTTGCAGGACATCCATGAGAAATGCGAGCCAGACCTTCTCATAGTTTAGGGAGCTCGTGACCATCCTGTTCCCTGATGCTGTACAGAACAAAAGTGCTCAGAGTATTTCCTTCTGTGGGGGAAGATGTAACCGTGAGCAAGTCAGCAAAGAGTTTATGAGACTCCTTGATAGACCTGATCGGTGTGAAACCTTGGGAGTCTGGAGTGTAAGACAGAGAGAAAATGGTATCTGTTTGCGTCTAAGGATAGACAGGAGGTTCTTTTTGTATGCATTGTTAATCTTATCACACTTAAGAAACAAACGTCCAAGGAATGTAACCCTCCTCTCTCCCACAGATCCCCACTCTCTCAGGGTGACGTCTCACTGGACAGGAGCGTTCCTCACAGCCAGTCAGAAAAGCAAGCAGAGCCTGAGACCAAGGAGTCCCTCCCTGACGTGCAGCTCTCGGGCAGCTTCCCTTGCACAAAGCGCTGGCCCCAGCCGCATGCATTGTGGCACGCACTCGTGTGGGTAGTTGTTGGTGTCTAGACATGAAGGAGACTTGTTAAGCGCTCTGCTGACCCGTAGGGATGGATGGGAAACTACAAGGGGGGCCTTCAGCGTGTGTATAAAGGATGGAAGGACCTGCAGTTAAGGGTTTGGATTTGCGTCTGAGTCCGTGCCTTCAGACGCTGCCAGTGCTATGCCTTGTCACCCAAGGGAAACGGTCAAACAGCTGCTTTGGGACAGAATGTCTGTGGTGCTCAGAAAGTGTGGCCTTCCAAGGTACTTCAAGTGCCCCAAAGAACAGAAGCAAGCAGTGACGATTCCTTTCTCTCTCCATTCTAATAGCTGTAGGTAGCGCGCTGGAGAGAGGCTTTGGAGGCTTTCCTCAGCCTCCTCTTTTCCTCGTACCTTGACAAAAGCGGACGGCCAGAGAACAAGACGACCTTACACACTTTTTTGGGGTTTGGTTGTTTTGTATTTTTTAAAATTTCTTGGGTTTTTTTGTGGGTGTTTTTTTTTTTTTTTTTTTTTTTGTGTGTGTGTGTGTGTGTGTGTGTGTTTTAGTCCAGTCCAGTGTAGTAAATACTCTGTCATACAACTGATGAATGTTCAAGGTCTTGCTGCCGATGGACCATGCTCCACTTGAACATCAAGTGGAGCAGGAGGCAGTCTTCATCCAGAAAAGTGGAATTTTGATGAGATGTTGCTGTCTTATGGAGAGGAAACTGCGTCCCCCAGGCTCAGCCAGCAGGCAGACACAGGTTTCTGGATGGTGACCATCACTCTCTGCCACCGCTCCTGCTGCCTAGTCTCTCTTCATTATTGGAGCCTCTGCTGTTCCTGGCACACTTTTGGAGAGCGTCCTTCTCTCAGCAGGTGGTTCTCAGCCGGCAGGGCCTGGCACTGCCTCTCCAGGTTGCTCGGGGCTCGTTGCAGCAGCAGCTTGCTGCTTGTGCTGCCTGGGAGCCCCAGGTCTTCCTTGGCCATCTCTGGCACCTAGAACCAGAAAATCATAGAATAACAGAGTGGTTTGGGTAGGAAGGGGCCTTCAGGACTCTCCCGTTCCAAGCCCATGCCATGGGCAGAGACATCTTCCACTAGGTCAGGTTGTCCAAAGGTGCCTCCAGCCTGGCCTGGAGCGCTGCCAGGGGTGGATGGGGCATCCACAGCCTCTCTGGGCAGCCTGTATCACTGCCTCAGCACCCTCACAGTGCTGAGTCTTTCCTCCTCCTGTATCATCCAGATCTGCCCTCTTCTACTTTCAAGGCATTGTCTTTTGTTGTATCACTACTACCCTCCCTTACTACAAGTCCCTCTCCAGCTTTCCCCAGTCCTCCTTCAGGCACTGGAAGGACCCTCTGTGGTGTCCCCAGAGCCTCTTCTGCCCCCGGGCTGAACAACCCCCACTCTCTCAGGGTCATCTCACCTGGACGTGAGTGTCCTTCACAGGCAGTTGACTGGAGCCCTGCTCTGCACGGTGGTGGCCCACCTCTCTGTCCTGGAAGGACACCTCACTCTATCGCCAGCCATGGAGCTCATTGGCCTGGAAGGACAAAGCCCAGGGAGCGGGGCAAGCTCCTTGGGACCAACCCCCATTCCATCTCCAAGGGAGCTTCCCACAGCCACAAAACCCACCTGCATACAAGCGACGCATGAACAAGGTGTTCCTGCTGTTCCATCGTCCACCCCACAGATTTCACAGCGCTGGAATCATTAACCAGAGGAGCCTCAGAAACCCTTCGACCCCTGTTGAGCTGCAAAACAGAAGGAGATTCAACAAGACGTGGAAGGGAATTTAATTATGTGCCCTTAAACAACACTCACACGGGTGCAATTAATGTGTGGCACAGGAGACACAGAGGGGACTCGGGCAGAGGACACTGGGAGGACACAAAGACACAATTGGGACGCGAGGACATAGAGGGAACGTGGAGGGGGATGCATCATAAAATGGGTTGGGACAACGTGGGAGCAGACAAACCGAGTTTGGAGGCCCAGGTTGCAGATCCCACAATGAGGATCACGAAAGAGGGAACAGAGATGTCACAAGAAGGTGTTGAGCTTAGAAAGAGTGGCAGAGGAACTCTGGAGAACACAGAATCCCTTTACAGAACAGTGCATCAGCTCCAGGCATTTCCAGAGTCGCAACACTCAGTCACCCAACCAGGTTGGGTTTATCCACGGACGAGCTAGGACGGTCCACGTACTTTGCTTCCAGTCTGCCCTCAATGGCAATTGGTGACATTTGTCATAAATAGGGGAGCACAGATTTCAGTGCTGATACAGCGAGGTGCTGAGAAGCTACACATGCAGCACAAGGGCTGAGTCAACCGGCATCAATGGAGCGAGTGCTGTCTGCCCACCTGCTGGGGTCAGCTTACAGCTCCCCAGGGAGAAACGTGCGTCATCTCCTCGCACAGCAATTAAAGAACGCTGTGACATTATTGGAGGGTTTGGTGTCCTCAGTGGGTGAACCTGGCACCTGCCTGTATGGCAATGTGTGGCCTTTTGGCTCCAACAGCAATCCAAACCCCACAGAAACAGGGAGGGAGCCAAAGAGCCCCTCAGTGACCTGGGAGCCACAAGGGCCCCACAAGTGGCACCGCAGGGACCCACAAATAAGACACACGGCCCCAGAAGTCCCCCACAGCAGCCTGGGACTGGCAACAGGACCAGTAATTGACCCATAAGTGCCTCCACAAGCGGGGCAGCAGAGACCCACAAATGACCAACAGCAGCCTGTGTCCCAAAAAGTGACACATCAGTACCCCATAAGTGCCCCACAAGTTACCCATAAGTGACCCACAGGTCCCACATCTGCTCCCACGGCTGCGTTGCTTCCACCTGTGCTCACAGGGCTGCACCCTTCACCAGCTGCTCCAGCACTGCTTCACATGCACTCCCCGTACAACTCGCCCAGCACCCCATTTTGGGGGCACCGACCCCTACCCCGCTGTCACAGCCGTGCGCCAAAGGCACCATAACCCCGCTGCGCACGGCCATCAACTCGTCCCAGGACTCCACGCACCTCACAGGCATCCCCCAGTGCGCGGAACTGCCGCTGCCTGCCGCCGAGTCCCACGATCGATCCGGCAGGAAAGTTCTTGCCGGGGTCTCTGCTGCCACCGCGTGGCCAATGCGCGGAACTGCCGCTGCCTGCCGCCGAGTCCCGCCAGCAGCAGAACGCATGCGCCCAGAAATGCGGAAGTGCCGTTCTAACCGCTCTGCGCAGCTCATCCGCCGCTCTCTATGGTGATCAGTCCTCCAGCTAATACGAGCACGCGCCCGGCAACTTCACGACAGGAACTGTTTCTACAAAGCACCGCGGGTACGAGCAAGCAGCCGATCCTCGGACTGCCGGCTCGGCGATATTCTCCCCCTGCTAATCCAGGATGCCCCTCGTCTATTTCCGCCGTTTGATGCCCGAGCCCACCCGGGAACGGACCGGCTCACAGCTGCCCCTCAGCGCCTCGCGGCATCCAACTCGCTCGCCGCCCCGCTGAACCAGCAAACGTCCCCTTCCACCCCCAGCCCCGCGCCGTCCCTCCAGCCGTTTAAAAGCCCTCGCAGCGGCAGTGCAACGCCGCTCGGAGCGGCTCGCAGGGACTCGCAGTCGCGCAGCAGCACCCACCCGAGCAAGTCTCGGGCAAGCACTACATGTGCGCAAATGGGGGCACCGCAACGCGCTATATGTGTGATATATACCGTGATGCGCGTGCGGCCGATTGGCACTGGATTCTTTTTGCTGCAAATAAAAATCCAGCTCATCCCACGTATCCTGCCGACTGGAACAGGACTAAATGCAAATAAGAGCATTGATTCCCTACGCGATCAGCAGGAGGGAACTGGGGAAGCAACGTCCCTCCCACTGTAAGCAAAGATCACGTTTTTGACCACCTGAGGAACCTGAACATCTGCCAGTTTACGAGTCCCGATGAAACGCATCCCAGAGTCTCGCCCTTGCGCGCTGCTTTCCCATCGGCTGTCACCCGGGCCAGAGGCGAACGGCGGCCACCTATTCGCCAGCGCGCTCTTATCCTCACGTGGGGTGCTAACTGCTGCGTGCTCGGTTGCTGGCGTGACTGAAGCGTTGGGGAGATCCCCGCGCAATTTGGGTCTGTGGAGAAAGCGTGTGGCGGGGCCGTGCGCTGCGCGGGTGCTGATGCCCTGTTTCCGCGCAGAACATGAGTGGTGGTTCTGGTCCAAAGTAACTCCGTGCATCTTGCTGTGCTGCTGTTAGAGAGGCTGTAGCAGTTGCACTTTAAGCATGTTAACTGCTGTGCTTCCTTGGTATCAGGGTTGGTCAGAAGAGCAGAATAGACTGTCACTTCTTTGAAGCGTGTCCAAGCTGAAGTGGGAAGCTTCACAAAATTCCTGTGTCGGCCTGCTGATCACAGACCTCTTCTCTTAGTTTCAATCCACTTACCCAAGTCTTTTTGTACTTATCCTTTTTTTGTAGGCTACTTTGAAGTCTGTATGGTTACATCTCCACTTTCTTGACTGGGAACTTCAGAAATGGACCCTAGTTGGTTGCCTTTTATCTCCCTGGTGTGGACAAGAAGGTTGCTATCCGCAGGGCTTCTTTTTGTCAGCATGGTCTCATAATTGCAGTGAGCCCACAGAACTACATTCCCTGCTATCACCCTGCTATGTTTTACATCATGGCAGAGCTGGTAGAACAAAGAGAATGTTTGATAGGTGTCTGTGTGGCTCAAAACATGTTAGGAAAGGAAAGTGCTCTGCAAACGTGTTCCTCCTGTCTATAAAAAGGCCTAGTTAAATCTCATGAATACTTCTCTGGAAAAGTGCTTGTGGTTATTGTTCAGTCTTTGTAGTGTATGTTAGAGACGTGTTGCTTTTTAGTGGGACTGACAGTAATTGAGTCCGTCAGATTAATTTGTTGTCGAAATGCTTAGAAATGGAGTTGTTAGTTTGTGACAGGTATGCTGTATTGTTTCCATTTGCTCAGGAGCACAGAGGTCTCCTCTCGATCCGATACCCAATGGAACATGGCATAGTGAAGGACTGGAATGATACGGAGCGCATTTGGCAGTACGTGTGTTCCAAAGATCAGCTTCGGACTTCCTCAGAGGAGGTGAGATATCTCACTGTGTAGAGGCACCGGTGTGTTTCCTTTCTGTGCATAACAGCAGGAGCCTTTGAACTCCAAGAGGCAATCTGGGGCTCTTCCTTTGTTTTTCTTTCTGAACTCATCTGTTGTTCCATTATGTTCTTTTCACCTCTTATGAGATACCACACAAGAAATGTCCAAGCAGAATTTATCCTCACATCTCCTGTATATTTGGCCTGACTCAAAATCTGACTTGCCGAACATCAATTGTTATTCACTCCCTCTCCCTAATGATTGTGCTCTACACCAAGTGCAGCTGACTGTTCTTGTTATGTCTGTACATTGGGCATATCCACTCAGCAGTGACATAGTCTGGTCTAAAGAGGAAGAAAGACAGTCATGCATTCTGGAAGAAGCTGACCAAAAAGTTAGTAAAAGACTGAAAGCAATAGGTTGTGTCATTGGTGTAGGAATATTTCTGCCTGTATAAAATATGGACTGTACGCTTTCACCCTTTCTAAGGCTGCTGTTTTTGTTGCAGATTGTCTTCCTTTTGGAGTGATCTTGATCATCCTTCCCGGCAAAGGCTGACTCACAGGGTGGACTCCCTAAGATTTCTTTATGGCTAGACCAGAGCCCTGTTGCTTCTCCAACCTGGTAGAGATTATGCATGCTGTAATACAGCTCACCAGCTGCAATCAGTCCCTACTGTGTGTCCTGTTGTACTAATGGTTCCTAAAGAAGAAAAATTAGTAGCCATTCTTGAGAGCATACATCTAGCTGCATCCTGGTTATTACAGCTTGGTTCTTTTTCCTTACCAGCATCCTGTGCTGTTGACAGAAGCACCACTAAACCCACTCAAGAACAGAGAACGTGCTGCTGAACTGAAGTGTTTTTTGAGACCTTCAATGTTCCAGCACTGTTCATCTCCATGCAGGCTGTGCTCAGTCTGTAAGTACCTCTCATCTTCAATGTGCACTTGCAAAATGTTTCTTGAAATCTTTTCTTTTTCCCCCCACAAACAAACAGAAAAAAACGAACTGAGAAAGACCACGTTAACATCCGTCTCGTGTCCCTTTGCTAGGTATGCTGCTGGGAAGACCACAGGAGTGGTGCTGGGCTCTGGGGATGGCGTTACCCACGCAGTGCCCATCTGTAAAGGTTTTGCCATGCCTCACTCCATCATGCAGATTGACATTGCAGGCCGCGATGTCTCGCGCTTCCTGAGTCTCTGTCTCCGGAAGGAAGGCTACAACTTCAACACGACCAGTTGGAGATTGACAAGACCATCAAGGAGGTGACATAGTGTCTGTTTCTGTGCTTATCCACAAAGATCTCTGCCTGTTGGAAGTCATCGCTCCCTAAAATGTAGTGGGAAGTGCCAGCCTACCTAGCTCTGAAACTCGTTCCTTTATCTACCGAAGGGAGGCTAGATGTAAGATGACTAAGGGACTGGAAAATCCCTCCTATGAGGAGGGATTGAGGGGGCTGGGGCTTTTGAGCCTGGAGAATAGAAATTCAGGGAGGATTTCATCATTGTATGTTAATATCTGAGGGGAGAGAGCAAAGAAAACAGAGCCAGACTCATTTCAGTGATGTCTGGTGACAGGATGGGAGGCACAGAGTGATGCACAGGAGGCTCCATCTGAATGTAAAGGAAAGCTTTTTTTTTCATGTAAGGGTGACTGAGCAGCAATTTTATCAGTTCTGATATCCTTCACTAGTATTTGCCTACTCTTCAAGCGAAGACTTTAGAAAATCCTTGGTAGTTTGGGATCGCAAGTGGATTGCTGCTGTTTTTCTCTCTCTGTGGAAATAATTCACTCACAATATTCATATTTAGAAAGGCTTTTTTAATGCAGTGTTTAGTGGCCTTGTAGTTACACAGCAGTTACCTTGGCTTCTCTTGTGTTCCAAGAGAAGAGGGCAGAGGTGGGACAGCGAACAGTAGCTCAGCTGGTGACTGCCCACCATGGCTTTGTGGCATCACAATTCTCACGTGGACAGGTTGCGCTCTGATTTCAGCAAGGCTTTGTGTAGCTTAGGGCTACCTATGCGTTTGTGCCTTCAACGCTCAGATCAGTACTGCTGATGCCTGTCAGTTACTGCCATGCTGTTGGCCTCCATCACAGGCTTTAACTGCTGCAGAGAACTCTGGGCTGTGCCAGCAGCCAAGGCTGGAGAACATCAATGAGCTGTTCTTGAGCCTGTGACCTAATGGAAAAAAAAAATGTGATGGAAATAGCTTGCTTGTTCTGCACGGCTGCAGCTCATTGTAGCTGTGCAGGGGAATGAGAGCTCTTCTGCCTGCATAGATAATGTCATCCACTGACCTCAGAGACAGCCTATGAGGGAGCTGGCTAGAGGTCTGAGTTTTGAATAGAAGGCAGAAGATTCCTGCCTTCGCAGTCCCACAAACAAGGGGTCTGGATCAATGAATCTCAAGAGAAAACAGCTGCTACTGAGTAATGCTCCACTTCCCCAAAATGGCCCTGCCACCTTTGAGGAAGCCACCGCTTGCGCCTGGCCTTCTCCCAGTCCCTGGGGCTCTACCTCGGCGTGTACATGCATGCACCCAAGCGAGGGCAGTTCTGTGTCTTCCAGCTGGTGAGCACTGAGCGCAACCGCTACAGCCTTGACCGCATATCCTCGCTGTTCTCCTCCCAGGCGGCTCTCACTGACTTGCAACACCAAGCCTGTAACAGGCAGAACATGTGGGTTTTTTTAGCTTCCCACCAGCTAGACTGACTGTGAAACTTCAGCAGGGGCAATGCTGGGCTTCCCACTCCTGCTTATCAGATTGAGGTAGGCTATCACATTCCCTGCAACCTGGAGAAGAGAGGGGAAAACCTGGAGTGCTGGAGAGAGAAATGTAGAGGATTATTTCAGAACAATCTGAAGAGAGGACAGGAGGAGAGGGAGACCTTGGTGACTGCTTCCTTCCTAACCTCTGAGATTTTCATTCCTCCTCATCCTTACCAGGGATGGATGAGAGAAAGCAGACCTCATGCAAACACATGAGTTTAGATTCTAACTTAAAATTATATGTGTTCCTTCTTACTAGTGGGAGAAGGTAGTAAGTTTAAAAGTTAGTAACTCTATTAGCCCAGAGTATTATAACTGGCGTGGAACACCTCCAGAGGTGGTAAGCACATACCTTTGGTCTTGTAACTTTCCTCATGATCTGCTCATTGTTTGTTGGCTGATCTCCAGTGCAGGGCGAAACGCTCTAAAAATCACTAGTCAAAAGGAAAGACTTCAGCTTACTTAGGGCAACTTCCTGCATTTCTACCCAGTAAGTGCATAGGAGTTGGAACAAACCTTTTATTGCATTTTGCTGACAAAAACAGAAAAATAACCCCCCCAGGTCTCATAGACACATTCATTTTTCTCCCTACTCATGTTCTGCTTTTATAGTCCATTGCACAGTCACCTTGCATGCAATACCTCTTCTAGCCTAAGGGTAAGCATCATCTGTTTGCACAGTTGTGCTTATAACAGCAAATATTCAATGATATGACAGAAGTAGCACTGTAAGGACCTTCCTTTCTCATACCCTAATCTATTTTCTCCCTGTCTGTGCATGAATACCTGTGCTTCATCTTCATAAAAAATGAATTGTTGGAGAGAAATACTAGCGAAAGCTTTACACAAGCTGAGATTTTGATGTATTAGTAGTAATATATGGTGTACTATGTTTGTTAGTGCAGTAATCATGTCACCCATACTTGAGCTTATTCATTCAGAACTAGCTTGGGGATCACTTCAAGGCATGAAAACATATTAGCAGACATCCTTAGACAGTGTGCTCAAAAGCACATTGATAACTTCTCTGCTTCGGCACGTCCAGCACTTCACCTTCAAGTATTTTAATGGATCTGGTTTTTACTATTTTTCTTAAAGCAATGTATGCACTTCTTTACAACCACCATGGGCTTCTTAAAACAATTAATGATTCTGCACGTTGTGCAAGATACTTTAAAGAACATGGTTTTCAGAAAGTGCAAGGCCTCCTTCTTGAGAACAATCAGCCTTGTAAAGTGCCGCATGTTAAACGGCTTAGAGCAGAGCTCCCAAAATTAGTCTTCACTTTCATAAACATTGGCCAATTTGATTTAATTTAGGATCTGGGGAAGTGCTGTGTTCTGCCTCATACGAGTGTCACTAAGCATACAGCACCAGGGTGCCAGGTCACAAGGCATTCTTGTGTTCCTACAGCTTTATTGTAACCTGGTCCTGTTTCTTGTTTTATCTTTCTTGACCCGACTTTCTGAATCTTAGCATGTGTTGTTGTTTTTTTTAACCTGTGCACATCGACAGAGACTCTGTGGGTCCAGGAAGGAGAAGATGTGTAAGGACAGCACTCTAGGAAGCTTCGTAGTAAAATCTAGAGCTTCAATGGGAATTTGATCCTGTAGCTGCTTGGCACATAATTTCTGAAGGGATGGGGAGCAGAGCTCCAGCTGATCCACCGTGAGCTTCTGACTCTGACCTTCTGTCCCCTTGATAAACTGAAAAAAAGAGTTCCAGGTTGTGAGAAACCGGAGATCCAGTTTGTTAAAATAAATCATACATGTAAGGCAAGGGAAAGCGTCAAAACAGCAGCTTTTGATGACTCACTCAATAGCAAAGCACGTAGGAACTGGGAACAAATGGAGAGGCTACATTAAAAGAAACTCTGAAGCCACATAACGTACGATTGATAATCCTCAAAGGATCCAGGATGACCTTGTCCAGGACACAGTCATCCTCACAAGACTAGGATCAGTTTGGAAAACTTGGCTTCAGTCATGAAAAGGAGACTCAGGCGTGTGTTTGCAGGATTGGGTCCTAATTTGACTGCTGCTTCCTCACTTATCCTGACCCATATACGGCCCCCAAAACTGCTCAAAAAGTATTTGAGTGCCTCGCAATTTGTCAAGTATTTATTCCCACAGATGCACAAGAGAGAAATCCCCACTGCCTTGCAAAGAAGCAGAGCAAAGAGAAATTACATCAGTTGCCTGCATCTCCCAAGGAAAACGTGACACAGACCTGGCAGCACAGTAAGAGATTTTTCATGGCATTTCTGCGCTTATGACAGATATCTAAAGAGGAGGAGGAAAACAGCTGGACCTCACTGTGGGAAGAAATGAGCACTTAACCACACAAGCACGTATCGCTTGATACAGCAGCAACAACAGGACTGCACTGAGCAGAGAGGAGCAGGGCGGTGTAAACAGGTTGGAACAACAGCAGCCATAGCTGGTGTTTAGCTGTGTTGACAGCAGGGGATAGAAAGGGCCCTGTCAGCAGGAATCTCCTGGGAGGAGACCGACCTCATCCTCATCGCCACAGTCTGTGCAATCCGTCTCAGAACCTGCAGGAGCAGTCCTGGCTGCGAGGGCAGCACAGAGCGCCAGCAGGGAGGACGTGGCAGAGGACCGTTTAGGCAGTGCCAACAGGAATCCCCAGTGGGAACCACTGGCAGCACTGGTACAGAGAAAGGTGGACTTCCAGAGGCATCCCGATTAGTGCGGGAGGGGGTTTGTGAGCACCCCAGAGGTATTTTAGATCCCAAGGAGTGGGATGAGATTACTGCGGCTCTTGTGGAGCATACGATGAGCGCCCAGTCGGGTGCGGCACTTCGGACACGGGGTTTGATGTTGGCAATATTAAAAACAGCAAAGGAGAAAGGAGAAGCGACGGAGGCCTCCCTCAACTTCAAGCCATTTCCCCTCGTCCTGCAGTTGTCAGCCCTTTCCAAGAGTTGAATTCCCCTCCTGTTTGTAGGCTCCCTTTAGGTACTGAAGGCTGCAGGGAGGTCACTCCGCAGCCTTCTTTTCTCCAGGCTGAACAAGCCCAGCTCCCTCAGCCTGTCTTCATAGGGGAGGTGCCTCAGACCCCTGATCATCTTTGCGGCCCTCCTCTGTGTGGAGGAGGACAGAAGTGCACTTGCAGACGATCTTTCTCAGTGTGATTAACTTTGCTGGACCCACCGCTCCTCCGGGGTGTCCCACAAAGTTCCCAGCGTGTGAGCAAAAGCCTTTTATGAATCATTTTTTAATCAGCGTCCCCTAGTCCTGGGATACTGCACTACTTCAAAGAGCATTCCAGCTTCCACCTCACCCTCTTTCTGCGGTGTGTTTCCAAACTCTAGCACTGTAGGTAGAGTTTTCTGATGCTTTTAACAAAGTTTTTTGACAGAATGCCTCCTGTTGAAATAGTTGCTCCAATGTTATTTGTCAGCTGAGAAGCGTTCCTATGTAGCCTGTCCCAAAGACTTATGTGAGGTTTAGGGTTCCCATGTGCTGGTCATGAATCAGTGTCAAAAATGGGACAGGCCCTGTTCAAAGAGTTTGGAAGTTGCTTGTTCCAGCACTGAGCTGTAGATGCAGCTGACAACCAGATGCAAATGATTCCAAGTTGCTAATCATACAGTAAACTGAGTGTTTTCTTCTCCTAAGTAAGATTTGAGCCTCTATCCATTTGTGCAGCGGAGGATATTTTAATGCCTAGTGATCTAGCAAACCTGGCTTTTACCCGTAATTACAGAGGATTATAGCAAGGAGAAAAATGAATTCTAAGAGATTTACTTGTTTATCAAGGATCTCCCTTTAATATCACTTAAGCTGAAAGTAATTGCTAGTGTGTAGTCTTGCCTGTAATGACTCTTACTTAGCAGTACAGGTGTGTTGTTTCAAGTGCTGACCCAGCTACCTGCTCATGTGATGGTGTTTCTGCAGACAGTGTCCCCTCTGCAGCCCCTTTCCAGAAATCCTCCCACTAAGGCTTTGTATTGCATCCTCCATCCTTTCAGCTGCATGGGGACCTGGTCTCCTGCACCTCACCTGCTCCTTGTCTGCAGCAGGACTGGTGGGACACTACACTCCAGGCTTGTGTTTTCCTGCCATGGCAGCAGCAATGACAGCAAGTAGGCAGCTTGGTAAGAGATCCAAGTGGTCACAAAATGGTAAAGTGCTCAGAGCCCTTCTCTAATGCCAAGGTGTCATGGTTCTATGTATTTTGTTTTTTGGGTTTCAGTATTCCACATCAAAACTTCATGCAGTGTACGGGGCATTAAAGTGTCACTGCTCCAATCCCAGGTACCTATCCCTGTACATTACGGGAGTCACGGGATCTGGCCCTTCCAGGTGGGGGGGCGCTCTCTTGCTGCCTTGCAGTGGGTGCTCGAGGGTGCTTTCCTAGCTCTGCGTCTCTCTCCGGCGCCGCAGTGGAGTCGGAGACCCACCTAACATGGCGCCGAGCGGCACAGCCCTGCCTTCCATCTCCACCTTCCTCCCGTCACGCATCGCGTGACCGCCGCAGTTCCGGTTCCGCCGCGGCGGTGATTGGCTCCTTCTCTCTCTGGGCCGGAAGCGAGCGTTCCGGCAGCGAAGTTCGAAAGCGAAGCGCCGCGCCGCGCTCCGTGCAGCCGGTGGGCGTCCCGCTCGCTTTTGGCCCGGCTCTGCGGTGCCGGTTCGCGGCGGAGGCCGGGTGGCCCTGGAAAGGGGGAGCTCGGAGTAGCGCTCCGTGCATCTCTGCACCGAGGCGTCTCTGTACCGGGCTCGTCCGGGCGGGAGCGGCCCTTCCTCGGGCGCCGGGCGGCTGTAAAGATACCACTGTTGGATTTCGGTGTGCACAGCTCTCATCTGACTTCGTCCTGGGCTGTTTTCTCAGTCATGTGAGTGTGAATGCCAGCGGAGTACTTCCAAATGAAGTGCTTCTCCTCATTCAAAATTGTTAAACGCTAGTTTTGAAATACAATTAAACGATTATTCTCCTTCTCTTTTGCTTTGTACAGCTACACCCTGAAATGCCAAACGAAGCCAGATTTTGGCGAAGAATCGATGGAGTTAGAAGTGTGTTGGCTCAGTAAGAATGAAGCAGCTGGTATCAGGAGACAGAGGCCAGAGGCTTAGAGGGCATGCTTGGTCTACAAGAGGCCGGTGGAAGACTTTTTATCCAGCTGCCACGTGTGACTGCTGCTCAGAAAGCCACAATGTTGTACTGAGACTTGAATCATCATTTTAGAAAAATCAGTTTGGAAAGGTAACTTGTGATCTCCTTCACAGCCGTATTTGAGAAATCTTGCCGGCTTGTCCCCTGACCTCTGCAGACAGTTCTCTATCCTGAGCCCTTTCTCAAGGGCTCACACTCAGAAGTGCACGTCACGTGAAAGTCTGAGTCCTAAGACTTGTAAAATCTGGCAGGAAGAACTATTGACGTTGAAACTGTTGATTCCCATAGAGATGCTTGTATAGTGTAGTGATTCTGGTTTGTGTGTTCAGCTGCACGGCTTTTCCATCTGCTAGTTGTTTTGCTTTTTTTTGAATATATGACTCCTAGAATGTTACTGTTTGGTTTTAAAAAGTTAACATAAACAAGAAAGCTCCCTTTCAGTAAGGGATCATATTCAGTAAGCTTGTCATGTTCTGAAAGACTGTTTAGTGTTTCAGCTTAGCAGAGACAGTTCAGCAAGTGATTCGTGTGCGCGCAGTTGATTGCAACTATCAGTCTTTAGAACCACAGAGCACCGGATGAAGCGTGTTAGAACTTTGCCTTAAAGAAAAATGGAGGGTTTGGGGAAGAAGCCAATAAGTTCTTGTTTTAGTTCAGTTCATTTCTTGTGCCTGTTACAAAGGAAGACATTGATGTGTTAAGTGCATAACCAAATGAACTTTGTTGTTAAAGGGAGAGACAGCGCTTGACCTTGCAATTCAAACTCAGAATCGCTTTGTCGTTTATATGTTAATGGAGGAAGGAAGAGTGAGAAGCAGAAGGAATGACAGGTTACTGAGAATGATGGAGAAATACGAGGTAATGTCACTAATGGAAGGAAAGCTTCAGCGTTCCGTGTTCAGAATAATCTGTAACTTACCTCCGTTCTGACAACAGGATCTTCTAGGCTTCCAAACCTGGACACTCAAAAATGAAATGTTTTAGAAGCACCTTCCTGTTCTTGGGTGTTTGTTCCCCCCTTTCGCCCCCCCGCCCCCCCCCCCCGTTGTTGTTTTCCCTGCCTCCTTATCCCTGTGTTTTGATGTGTCACTTTGTTCCCTATCTTGAGTCACTCAGCAATTCGTTCTTATATTAAGTGTATATATTGGAATAAATCCTGCTTGAATATTCTGTCCGATTTTAACAGTGATCATTTAACAGCTGTTCCTGCTGCTGGCATCTTGCTTGACTGATGTGGGCCATAGGATACGTAATGAACTTGAGTTCTGATTCCTGGCTTTTGAAAGGATGCCTGCTTCTCTTTCTGCTGGTTGGGATGGCTCTGTCTGTGAGGTTTGTGGATTCTCTCTTCTGTCCTTTAGATCTAGGGGGGGAACGTTGTTATGACCAGCCCTTTCTGAATTCTTTTAGCTTCATAAAGAAATTACTACCAAGGTTTCACTGTTATACTGAAAATCTTAATTTCCTCATGTGCTAGCAGATGAAATCTTCCTTAGCGTTAACTTCAAAAATTTGAGTTGAACTCCATCTTCTATCCTATTAAATGTGACGCAGGTTAAAAAATGTCAACAGAGGAGTAATGATGAATAGAACGTTGTTGTGTTTCTTCTGTTAGAGCTGGTCTTGCCGACAGCTTTATCCCTTAACTACTGCTTCCCTAGGGATCACGTATTGTTAATGCTGCTGTTGTCTTTTGTAGGTTTATTAATGAGTATTTCTCATTTTCAGTCTTGGATGCTTCCAGAATCTTGCCGACTTCTTTCAATGCAGATGTTTTGGTATGGTCAAACCAGTGGAGTTGGCTGGACCAAGCAATACAACGTTCACAGTGATAAAGAAGAAAAACGTTTGCTGTGTATGAATTCTTGCTTGATTTCTAAAGCTGCTGAGCTGTGTGAGAAATAAAACTGGATGTTTTGTTAATTTTTATATTCTTCCAAAATCTGCTTGTTTTTATTTTTTTATTGTTCTTAATATTAAAACTTTCTTGTGTAAGGGGCAGCAGATGCGGGTATGAAACAATTACTGTGCCTCTTTATGTACAGCATGAGCTGACACTTTTTGAAGTTTTATTTGAAAAGGTGACACTAAATATACTTCCTCAAAAGGTTGTTTTTAGGGCAGAATTTGGAAACTTTGTTAGTGCCCTTTGTATTATTTTGCAAATAATAAAATTGCATTTGAAAAATGAAGGGGAAGTTCAATATCAAAATTGGCCTGTAAGTGGTTATCTTAGATTGTGAACACAACCTAATGACGCTCTGTATTTGGGTGTTTTACTTGTGACAAAACAGAAATTTTAATGCTTCTAAGAATATTTTACAGGTTGAAACAGATTTGTGAGATATATGAGCAGGGAAGTGTTTAAGAAACAGGTAAGCACAAAGCCATAAGTAAAAGCCTGTTTGCCTTACGTTTTGCTTGCGCGTATGCCCTGTTAGCTTCTGGAAATTGATAAGGGAGATGATAGAAAGTATTAGCATGTATGGAAAAGACAACTATTCTCCCCGGCATGCACAGATCTATAACAGCTGCCACATCAGTCATGTTCACAAGATGCGAAGGCTGCAGCATCGTTCCAGCGTGGCAGGCTGGGCAGTGTGTTGGGAGTCAAAATACTTCATAATAAAAACTGGCAGGGAAGCAGATTGAGATCAGAAAACCAAAGTTCAATGCTGTCTAGAACTGACAGTGCAGAATAAAGCAGTGTAATGAGACAGAGTTCTTGCAGGTAAGGAATGGGAGGTATCATCTTCCCCCTGAAATGCAGTAGTTGTGGCACCGTGGGACGTAAAGCACAAGCAAATTGAAGTAAACAAAAATGTGAAGCAATATGAGTGCTTTTTATTTAGCTTGAAAAATGTACAATAACAAAACTGAAACACTGTATTCAAGAAAACTTGCTTTTTCTTCAGAAGGCTCTCCATTTTAGAGAGAGAATTTCAAATTCTTCTGAGTATGTGTCCAAGTAACTGATGTCTACTCTGTCCTAGTAGAAACAATGTCGAAATCTTCAAAACGCTAGGAGGAAACTGGCCTAGATCAGAAGACCGTAGTGACAAGCTGCCCCATTTTGCTTCATAGGGTATGTTGGTCTGAATGGGACACTCTGACCCTTGTGATTCATGGGGTAGCTCTGTCTGAATGGGACAACCTGGAGGTTCTTACCTACGAACTCCAACAGCTGTAACGTTCCCTCAGCCCTGCTCTGTCCACATCTGTCTCCCATCCCTTCCCCCTTTGGACCTAGTATAAAGACCTTGGTAATCAATTACAGAATGACAGAATGGCCCAGGGTTGGAAAGGACCTCAAGGATCATGAATCCCCAACCCCCCTGCCACACGCAGGGCCACCAACCTCCCCATTTAACGCTAGACCAGGCTGCCAGGGCCGCATCCAACCTGGCCTTGAACACCTCCAGGGATGGGGCATCCACAACCTCTCTGGCAGCTGTTCCAGCACCTCACACTCTCTCTGTAAAGAATTTCCCCCTGACATCCAACCTAAATCCCCCCTCCTTCAACTTCAAGCTGTTTCCCCTTGTCCTGCAGTTGTCAGCCCTTTCCAAGAGTTGATTCCCCTCCCTGTCTGTAGGCTCCCTTTAGGTACTGAAAGGCTGCAGTGAGGTCACCCTGCAGCCTTCTTTTCTCCAGCTGAACAAGCCCAGCTCCCTCAGCCTGTCTTCATAGGGGAGGTGCTCCAGCCCCCTGATCATCTTCGTGGCCCTCCTCTGGACCCTCTCCAACAGCTGCCTGTCTTTTTTGTACTGGGGGCTCCACACCTGGACGCAGAGAGCTTTGTTCCCCAGCACACTTCTGCCTGCTTGCTCACTTGGAGTCCATCAGGAGCCCATATACCGAATTTCTCAAAGGCCTGCCCCGAGACCAAAACGCCCAAAGCCTTGATCGAGACGCCATCCCCTAGCCAGTCATTACTGACACGTTCTCCTCCATCTTTGTGGCTCCCAGCTACCCACCAGAAGGGCACAGGAGAACTCTGCCCGCACCCCTGATCCCTTCAGCATCTTTCCTCGTTGCAGCATCCTGGGTCCCAGCCTGAGTGACAGTAGAAGGAGAGCAGTCTTGTGCCTTAATGAGCCACAGACGAACCTTCCTGATGCCTCTAACACGTGCCCCTGGAAGAGATCACGCCTCACTGAGCGATTATCCCGGTGGCAACTGGGAGCCTCAGTGCTCCCCAGCAACGAGGTCCCCAGTTACCAAGACTCTCCGCCCTTTTCTGGTGGCACTGGTATTGATGCAGTGCCTGACGGGCCCCGCTCCCTCTGCCTCTGTTACTCCCTGTACTCTCAGTGTGCTTCTCAGGGCATGAGTTTGGACTACTCCTTGCTATCCCTCTCTGCGGGAGAGGGCCTCGAATCTGCTACTCAGGGACACTGTAGGGGATATTGCAGGGGTTGGCAATGCTGTGGGGGCTTGGGGGCAGATGCTTTCTTCTGCTTTGAGCGGAGATGAGGGTCCAACCCCTTTCCTCTCACGGGCTCTCTAGATCCCTGACCTGAAGGTAAGCAGCTGGATGGGCTACTGCCACTTGCAGGAACTTTGGATAAGGCTGCGTTTCTGCAGTGGAAGTAGGCTCACACCTCCTCCTATCTGTCTCCCTCAGATATTCCCATGCGCTCCTAAGGCTGCTGATTTCTTGCAGCAGCCTGGCCGTCTGCTCCAGCAGCTCCTTGAGAAGGATACACCTGCAGCCAGGTTCTTTTAACTTAACAGGGAGAAGGGATAGGCAGATGGGAGCTGAGCTCAGGGGAGGAAAGCAGGCAGCAGCAACAATCTATGGAGGAAAGCTTGTTTTACTAACTAGGATGTGGGAATGCAAGATAACGCAGTATAATACAATCTAATTGAAATTGAGACTGATGGATCAAATAAAATAGGAGCGAAAGAGAGTTACTGAGAGCGAGTCAAAACTGAAAAGCCTGGTACATGTAGGGAAGCAGACTCCTATCCCTGCTGCAAGCAGTAAGAGATCGCCCAACAGGGAAGGGGCAGATCCCATGGCTTCCGAGATGTGCAGGGACAGGTGCCTGGAAACAGGAGCACGAACACTGTAACTCCCAGCGCATGGCACGGTGTTATGATGCAGAATACCAAAACCAAAAGCCACAGAGCCCTGAAAGTGTGGTGAGATATTTCCTGTATTGGAATCTAAATGGAAATCACAATGAGCTGGGTGGCCTCCTGCTTCTCTTCTGCAGTGCCAGACAAGTCCATGTACCGCAGCACCCGCTGCAGGTCGTCCTACGGCCCAGCGCTGTGGGAGGGCAGTTCTGCCCAACCCCGTGACGTCTCTACCCCCCAGCGCAGCTTACAGCCACTGTGCTCAGCCTCCATGTTGAGCTGGGGCCCCACGGCCGCCCCCCCCCCACAGCGCAGAGGGCCGCAGCCCCGCCCTCCATTATGAGCTGGGCCGGAAGGCCGCACCGGCCAATAGCTGCAGGCCGCAGCCCCGCCCGCCATTATGTGCCAGGCAGGCCCGCGGTATAAAAGGCCGCTGGCGCAGCCCCACGGCATTCACTGTCTGCACTGTCTGGCGACAGGGACGAGAGGCAGTGGGCGCTACGGGGTCAGGGGCAGCTGTCCTTGAGACCCCAGCTAGGAGTGACCGTCGGTGGCCTTTGGCCACAGCGTTTGGAGGCCGAGGGTTCTCCTCACATCCCCGTGATGACCATGCTGCGGGGGCAACGCGGGACGGGGCCAGGCAAAGCAGAGCAGCCGGCCCAATCCCCGCCGGGGCCCAGCAAAGCCCCCTGCCTGCCCTGCGCAGCGGGAGGAGCGCGGGCGGGGGCTGAAGGCGCTGCGGGCCCAGCTGGAGGGTGAACGGCTCCGCTCCCAGGAGCTGCAGCGTCGCTGGGCCGCTGAGAGACGTGAGCTGCAGGAGGCGGCACAGCGGGAGCGGCAGCTCCTGGCCCGACCGACTGCGCTCCACCTGGGAGTCGGCAGCAGGCGTCAAAGCATCAGCGCCTGCAGGAGCAGAGCCGCAGGCAGCGGCATGCAGAGATCCGCCAACTGATGCAGGAGAAGGCGGCCCCAGCTCTGCCAGATGCAGCAGCGGCTCCAGCAGCGGCGCAACAACACCGTCCGCCAGGCACAGGATCTGCTGCGGCAACTGGGCGAAGGTGCTGCTGAGTGTCAACTGCAGCAGCCACAAATTGCGGCAGGAAGTCCAGCGGCAGCTCTGCAGAAAGTCCCATGGAGAGCAGGCCGCCCACGTCCTGCGCCTGGAGCGTGAACTGCAGGAGCAGAGGAGTCGCTTCCTGCATTACATCCTGGAGCACGGTGAGGGGCAGCTGCCCACCTTCT